CCTGATGAACACTTGATCGACACAGATCTTCAGCAGGTCGAGAATCCATCTATAGGATTTTTCGAAGTCGGAACGGACCTCTGGTGGCATTATCGCGCAAAGTCGTTCCAACTTCTCAGTATGGTATCGGGGAATGTCCACCTTCTTCAATTGTCTACTAGTCCCCTCCATTTTCTAAAACCAAAATGCATGTTTTATGAAAATGATGCTTATTGAATGCGAGTGTTTATTTTTCTATTTATCATGTTTTATTTCTGCATGATGTATGGTATTTCCGTATTATTTTTTTGGAAAAAAGAATAGACTATCTGTATGAATGATTTATGAGTGTAATGTTTGTGAACAAGGTCTCATTATTTATTTATTTTTTTATAATCTTTTATCTCTTCTGTCAGACTGCGTGACTACTTAGTTTGCAAAGAACCTGAAACCAGGCTAGCTAAAAGGCAGACTGTCCGAGATAAGGGTGTTTATTGTAAAAATATTTTTTGTGATTTTTCTGTTGTTTGGTTATGCTATGCAACAAACAAATGTAACAAGCAAATGCGCACACAATTTGATCATTCGCGAACAGGCGAGAAGTCGTTTTAATCACGAGGTAGGGTTTTCCTGCAGAAAAGTGCTTTGGCGAAGGTAGGTTCTAACTGTTCTCACCAAGGCTAAGGCCCCCAAGGTGCCCCCATTATAGGGTCCCCACTCTCCAGCCTTCCGACCATGCTTAGCACTAAGGCCATAGTCAGTCTTTGTGCCAAAAGAGGAAGGTTATCACCTTGAGTGGTGGTTTCCGATCACACTGGTGGACACAAGGCCATCATTACAGCGAACCGTACCTGCCACCCACTCCCTATGGATTTCTCACTTGCCCCCGGGTATAGAGGGGACTGTTGTGTGCAAGGGTTTGTGTACAGTTTGTATTTCAAACAATTGCGTAAATATAAACAAACAACAGTTATTAAAGCCAAGCATTAAAACATGTTATAATACAAGGTAGGGTAAAAGCATAATTTCTTGGTTTATTTATTTAAGCTGGCCCATCACTAAATGAGATCAACTCTCTAGGCTTCCCTAGTGGAGTCGCCATCTGTCGCCGCCGTCAAAACGACGCGGTCGGAGCGACGCGATGGTTCTGACTTTCCAATTTTCGCGTTTTTATTGGTGTGGTTACAACGCCTTTAGGTTGTCCGATAACCGGGCTAAACCTAGGGGCGAGGTTTTTGAAAAGGCGTTCTTGGATTGTCCGATAACCAGGCTAACCAGGAACTAATTTTGAAGGGTTCTTCTGGAGTCGCCACCGATGTTTTTACCGGAAACATCAGAAAATGAGTGAAAAGGCGTTGGTTTTCGAAAAACCAACTTTGGTCATTAGAATCAGAGTTGGGTAAGGGAGTTAGTTACGTGTAAGGGAAGTGTTAGTTCCCTTACGACGCCCCTTTCGGGTTCCCTATGATAAGCCAGCTATTTAAATAAGCAAACCGGTGAAAATACGCTTTTACCCTTTTATTTACGGAATTTAAAATTACGACTACATGACCTTAATATCTACTGCGCAATTAAAAATAAAGCAGTAAAGGAGAGAGAGAATGTAAAAACCTCCGAGGCAAGCTTTCTATTAATTTCTTGAAAATTAGGGTGTTTTTTGGCAGCCCTTCACTCTCTACAGCGCCGGAAACCTCTCAAAAACTTTATAAAAACTCTCAGAAAACTCCAGAAGTGCTTCGGAGCGGTTTTAGGAAGAGAATTTGATGAAGTGACAAGAGAGAGAATGGAAGAACTGTGTGAAATGAGGGGGATGGCGCGACTATTTATAGGGATTCGCGCCTGTCAGGTCGAGACGGCCGTCTTGCCATTCGAGACGACCTTCTCGCCTTGCCAAAATGGCGAGACGGCCGTCTCGCCAACCGGGAGGGCCGTCTCGCTAAACGAGACGGCGGTCTCGACTTGCAGAAGTGGCGAGACGGCGGTCTCGACCCTAAAAGGCGAAAATCCTTATTTACATGCAAAAAAATCCCTCCTATCATAGTATGGGGCCTAATAGTATCTCCTAGTGGCTTCTTAGGCTTCGTCCATCTTCGAATAGAAGGTCTTCTGGTCTTTATTATGAGGTCAGACAAGATTTGGGGTCTACACAAATAAAATTAAGTGTAAGTACGGGTGACAAATTGTTAAAAGAAACTTCCATTATGAAAACACGCTATAAACAATATCAAACTATGTCAATGAAATTTTTGACAAGTTGGATTGTTGAATCTCTTTATCAATTTCTTTTTTATTCTTGATAATAGATTAGATTTTTTTTTTGCACTTTACATTCTTGCACATATATATTTTTTTCACACATTAATGAATTAAATTCATTTTTCTGTAATTTACATTTCTATTACTTTTATTTTTCTCGCACCAGTATTGGAACTTATATTGAAAATCAAATTATATATAAAAAATCATTAATAAAAATTAACATTGTATTAATTATTGAATTAATTATTGAATGATCAGTATTTATAATAAAAAATTAAGTATTTAATTGCTAGTCATAATTAAAAAAATCTACAAGATGATAAATTAGTTAATATCTTAAAATTTATCTATCTCACCATCCTTTATATTTTACATTTATAAAATTATCAAATATTTGTACCTATTTATAAAAAATGTTTAAAAATAATTTACTATCTGAGTCATAATTATCAAGTGGTGTAAATTTTAATTTGATTTACTATATATTGTAAGCATTACACTATTATTAGTTATATAATAACATAGTAAAATTTGACATTTTCAATTGCTTTTATTAATCTTACCATTTATTTAATTTTTCTAAAAATATTAAAACAAAAAATCAATCCAATTAAAACACGATTAAAACTTTAAACCAAACCAATTAGATTATAAATTAAAAGAAAAACTAAAAATAATTAGTAGGGATGATTTTCTTCTTCAAAGTAATCCATTCCAAAAAAAAAAATATCTTCACTACTTTGAGACATTCCAAAATCACTGTAACAGCTTTTGCTGCAACAATTCTTGTGTGTGTGTTTTTATATTTTAAAAGAATAATATTTAAATATTTTATATAGTAAGGGCCTTTTTAGAATGATCAGATATTTCTAGGAATATGTCTCCTGAACCAAACAAACTATTTTAACAAAATACTTTATTTTATTTTTTTCTAAAATACCCAAATTTTATCTTGCTCTAGTATTTTTAGGAATGTACCTTTCGAAAATATAAGCTGCTAATAGTTCTCAAGAATCAAATCAAACAAAAGATGATGCATTCTAGCTATGTTCAGGACAAATTATTTTGACAAATCAAACCAAACCAATGCTTATATGACACATTTAAATTTTACAATTAATAAAAAAAATAATTTTTTTGTCATGTATATTAGCATGGATCAAGGTTGCATAGGAATACCTAATTATCTCTCCATTGTTGAGATGTTATAACACTTGTATGCATTAGTTATCTTTAATTTTGATGATAATTTCACGATGAGCATGCTCTATTACCATTCTGAAGTTGCAGCACCGATTGTTAAACAGAAAGTTCAAGGTAAAGTGTACATCAAACTAGCGGGTGCTACAACGTACGGGTTACACACTTATTAGTGGATCAGGCCAGAAATTATTTAGAAAATTATTGAAGGAATCTAAGAACGTTGATGAAACTTTAGAAAATTTATTTTTCTCATGACATAACTGTACAAATCTGATAATACAACTAGCTATATGTATCCACAAGTAAATGAAATTTTCCAGTTCTTATTTCTTATTCTACACATACCAGAACCCTACCGTTGCTGGATTCTGTTGTTGAGGTGTGATGGAAATGACAGCCAACTATCAGTGTGGACAAGTGCAAGCCATTGTGACCTGTGCACTGAATTTTCTTTATAAAATTGGTAAATGTTTCAAACAATTTAGAAAAACAATCAGCCAGCTTCAATACCAAGTCCTGTGATAACCCTGCATCAATTCAGAGAGAAAGGGTAATTAGGATTTATAACTACTAGACTGATGATGATGATGATGATTGATCATCCAATAATAAAAACTTCAAGGAAAACACTATCTCCTACCAAATGAGATATAAGTAAACAAACCAGCTCAATCATATTGCTCGTCTAATTTAGACGGAAAACTATACAAAAAAGACTAATAATTCGAAGGACTATGTTTTAGATATTTAATGGTGAGTGGAGTGGAACCATTTTATTGTTTGGATGCTTAATCGGACTTGAAATCTAGCTTGGTCTTTGTTTCCTGTGAGTTTGAATTTTAAAGAATATGGGCACAAAAAAGGAAAAAAATGGGATTAGTGCTCAAGCAAATAGTTGCAAATTCACTTTCCAAACGGCGACATACATGTTTAAAATGTCCAAAAGTATTATTTTCATTCAGAAAGCTTCATGAGGACAAGATTGAATAGTACCATTGTAATACATATATAATTAATAACGATCAAAAGTAGCATGAACTAATAACACTTTGAGAGGACAAGCTATATTTCAACAAAATCTTTGTATCATTTTGGTTATAAACATCTCCTAACGCATAATGAGGCAACCCAACCACTTTGTAGCTCGCATAAAGAGGCGGGATTGAATGGGACGACAAATTTAGGTCAAAAGAAATTATGTGATACAAAAACGATTATCACAATCAACATTGATAGTTTAATGCATCAATAAACAACTTAAAGTAAATAGGATGAGATAATAATATTAAATAGCATTTAGTTTGAACTCATAAAAAGTTGTCCTCTCTTGATAAAGATCCTTTCTTAACATACTGCAAACTTTCTGACATTAAAAAGTAACTAATATCATCAATTACTGGTTGATTGAGTTTGTTTTTCTGGATCAACTTCATCCTAGAAGAAAGACTGCCTTCTTCACTAGTACACATCCATTTATCTGATTCCTTAAAGCTTAAGCAGAAAGATAATACAATACATTTAAAAAACAATAATTAGCAATGACTTACATATTTTATTCACTATGTGGCCACCAATTTTTTTTCATGCAAACAATCTTCGGTCATCATACTGCTTCTCTTGTCATCATTCTTCTCTTTGTCAAAAGCAAACTCCAGTTGTTTCTCCACTGACTTGACAATCCCTGTTCTCTTGGATCTTAACCTATATGGGGGAGATGCATTGAATGCCTTATTATTGGGAATGTCAATACCATTGTCATGGCTTGCTGGACTCCTGGAGAAACGCCTTGAACCAGAATCCTCATTGGCTCTCTCTGTTTTATTAGCAGAACGTGGATCATTATCTACCTTCAAAACTTTACTAGGACTAGGAAGTGCTTGGACCCCATTTCTCCTCCTCCTCAATATGGAAGGAGTATTGGGAAAAGTATTAGCAGCCCTTTTCAATATAGATTCAGGAGTCTCAGTGCATAATTCACTACCCTTCACACGAGGTGGAGTGAAGAAGCCAATAGGTGACAAAGTTGGACTCGAACAGTACTCATTCTGCTGGCAGATATAATTTAAATAAAGAGAATCTATGGGAACTGAACCATCTAACTGTGGTGGCTTATAACACAGAGAACCACAGGTTGGACTTTCTTGCAAAGATGTTCCAATTAACCTCGTAGTGCTCATGTCACCATTGTTTGTACAATGCTCAAAAGTTGAGTGCCCATTGAGGCCAGAATTTTCGGATCTTGGCGCATAAGTTATTCTCCAATTAGCTTTCGAAACTTGTTCAGAGTTGCTACAGCTAAGATCGATGTTAGAAGGTCCAGGCTTGCATTCGACACAGTCAGAATCGGCAGATTCATTTGCAGGAACACTTGAAGAATCGCCAACTTCTCTAACTGTTCCTGAGGACTCAAATTGATTCCTGCCACTGTCGTCTAGCTTACTAATGGCTGTAGTTTCAGATGATGTTTCAACAGCTGCATTTAATTCTTTATTTGAATAAACAAGTATTGATTTACTAGCAGAACGTCTAATTGTATCTTTTACAGTAACTTGTGGACTATTCTTGGGAATTGGTGGAAGTCTTCCTGTAGCTAAATAAAAATCTAACTTTTTCTTTAAAGAACTATTCCAATGATTCTTTATTGCATTATCAGTCCTGCAGAAGAAAAATCATGATACATTCCATGAATTTTGCTCAGGCCTTAATTTCCTTTGTAATAACTAACGAATTAAAAGAAAACAGACCTTCCATGAAGGACCTTAGCTATTTCAGCCCATTTGTTACCATGTATACGATGAGCATTCATCAGGGCTAATTCCTCCTCCAAAGTCCAAGCATCCTTCTTTATGTCAGGGTTGAGATGATTATGCCACCTGAAAACATTTTAAAAGAATTATTCCAAAACCAGTATAATCTGAGTAGTAGTCCATATGCAAAGCAAGTCTTTGTAGTCAAGTTGTCAATTTAAGCAAAAGGACATTCAGATGAAATTAAGATCTTCAAAAGTTGAAGGCAATATGCAAGAAACAAATCTAAAATTTATATTTAATGATACACAGGGAAACTTTTATTTACCAATAAAAAGATAAAATAAAAAAAAGAAACAAAAACTAATAACTTGCACATGATCGTCAGTTAACTTACCGCTCTCGACATTGTTTGCCTATTCGACCGGGTAAAGACTGAGCTATCAAAGACCATTTTGTTGGCCCATATTTTGACACCAGTTCAACAATTTTATCATCCTCCTGAAAGCCAAGTAAGAACAGTTATTAATTGAAAAAAATTGTACGAAAAATTATAAAGAAAAGGACTAAGTTTCAACCTCCTGTGTCCAAGGTCCTTTGACAAGTTCTGGATTCAGAACTTTTTGCCATCTATGCAGGCACTGAACTTCTGATCTATCAGGAAAAAACTCAGCTGCATTCCATAATTTAAATATAAGTCACAAAAATGAGCTTTATTCTTTCATGAAAGCTACATGACCAAATTCCTAGGCTTATACTTATGACAATTGACCATCACAGAATAAATAACAAACAAACATTATATTGAAAGATGCAAATACAAGTTTGAAAGTTTTAGTTTTGGTTGTTTCATTCTAACTTTCTGAGTTCCAAAAAATGAAAAACTGTGGGAATCCTTGTGCTATTTCAGGAATGTAAATATTCTATTTTATCTTAACATGTAATTAATTTGTAATACCTAATTAGTTAGTAATCAGTGTAAATCCCAAAAATCATGGGACTAAAGTGTAGAAAATGCCGACAGTTGTTTCCTTAGTTAATGTACTGACCTCTGCATATAAAATGATGTTTTCAAGAAATATAAAGACCAGCCCGAATTTTGAAGATGGTGACAGCACTGTTCCAAACTAAGTCGGACAAATTGATTGGTCTAAATAAAAAAAAGAAGAGTACAGACAAATTAAAAAAATGGATTCACTTCTCAAGGGAAAGATGCCCTTTCAAGGGAAGTGCTCACTTTACAACTGAATACAGACAGTGGAAAAGAATGAAACAAAATGGATTCCCTTCTCAAGGGAAACAGACCCTTCCAAATATTCACTTTACAACCGAATACAGCTTTCTGCTACAAATTTCGTAATCCCTCACCTATATCTTCCCCTCTTATTTATACTAACCTCCTAATCACTTATTATCTGTCTTATTCCTTCCAGAGTATGCTTCTAAAACTTTCTCGTACTGTCCCCCAACAGATTACATCTGCCTTCCACTGAAACCCAAAACAAATCCTTTCAAAGTCAATTTGCCTTCATTCCTAATAATTCTCAGCTTGTCATCCTCCTTCTGAGATAGGCAATCATGACATGATAACTTCTTCTGCCAGTTACATATATGCACTGGTTTATCAATGTGTAACCAACAAACTTTGATCAGAAGGTCTGTACTTTCAGAGTATTTGTTCTGCATGTAGGCTGAATTGGAAGAAATATAAAATATGGTCTCAACTTGTCCGTACAGTGTTGAAAGGAAATGGAAATCCGGTTCACCTAAAAGGCCTATGAATGTTGACTCTATGTTTGCAGCATGGGACGGAGAAGACACCATGATAATAGCTTTGGCTATGGAATTCAATGACCCCAAAAATTAGTGACACTTATCAACACTGCAAAGGAAACATGGGATGCAGTAAAGCCAACCTTTTCCAAAGTCAAAGATACTGTTCAAGTATAACAAATAAAGGTGATAACATTAGTGACAAAACAAGGTACCAAATCAACTAGAGTCTCTATGGATGAGGCAATAGATCATTATAAAGTGAAAAGAAACTAAATGCTCTAATAATGCTGCAGTTCTGAAGGAAATTATTGAGCATAACAGAGTCCAGACTTCCTTTTTGGTTTGAATTCCAGCTTCATCAAATCAGAATTCAAATTTTGGGGAAAACAACAAATTAAATTTTTCAATGAGGTGCTGACTATTTTACAATGTGAAAGATAGCAGGAGTTTAATTTCAGATACCCAATTATTGATAGTTCAGCAATGGTTGGTGTTTAATTTCAGATACCCAATTATTGATAGTTCAGCTATGGTTGCTGATGTATCAAAAGTGGTTCGGGAAACATTAAAAAATAAGAATGACGGATTGTGAGCACATGCACCTACTACACATTACACCCAAGAGAAATGATGGAAAGTGCATGGAAAATCTCCTATGGTCAAGAATGGGGACCATGCAAGGAATAAAGGACATGCTCATGTTGCTGTTCCTGGAATTAATAAAGAGAATAATCCTGAAGATGAACAAATTAATCAGGAAGAGATAGAAAGGTTAGCAGCTTAGATGAACAAACAGGTACTTATTTATACTTTGGCATATTCAGGCAAGTTTCCATTCTCATTTGGATTAAATGTCTAAGCCCGGTTATGGATATTGGATCCATGAGCCACAGATCAGATGACACACTTGTCCAAACGCTTTTCCTCAGATTCACCTTGTCCCAGGAGTATGAAAATTACCAGTGCAGGCAGTACTTTTGTAACTACAGTTGGTTGAGAATCTTCATTGTGAGATGTGTGAGCTAGCTATACACAAGCATGTACCATTTAAGCAATAAAAGAAGCACATTTCCCTTTTAGCTTGTTCATAAAAATGTACAGTTTCCCTTTACTGTCCACACAAATGTAATCAATGGATTGTAACTTATTTTTATGATTTTCCATGTTGCTTGAATGTGTTTCGTTTCTTCATATATACACAATCAATCTTAGACAATGTTTTTCATACACATAACCAAAACAGGGGAAACTTGATATTAGAGCCCTAAGATCTGTTTGTGGGGTATTCTTCTACTTAGAAAGGACCTGAGAAAATCTACTGTGACAACAAATCAGTAATTAACATAGCTCATAACAATTTTTAGCATGATCTGAAAAAATAATTGATGTACTCTAGATGTACCCACTCAGGGACAAGTTGCACATATGCTCATTGAAGGGTTGAACAGCTCCAAATTTGAGAGAATTGTACCCAAGATGGGACCGGAAAGTTCCTATACACTATCTTGAGGTGGAGTGTAAGAATCTGTGCTGTTTGAGGAATATCTATATATTACTTTGTTATCATATAACTAATTTTAATATGCAATTCGTTAATAACCAGTATAAATCCCCAAAAATCATCGGAGTACTGCTTAGTGCGAGAGACATTTATTTCCTTGAGGACCTCTGTATATAAACCGATAGGCTATTCAAAGAAATATGTAACCCATCGTAATTTTCAAGGCTAAATAAAAATTATCCTTGAGAGTCGTGCCTATGTCTTTATATATATATATATATATATATATATATTATATTCCAACTGCAGCATTCTCTTGCTCCACTCTAGTATACCAATATCCATCAATAATAATAAGATAATTTGCATATAAACAGTGTCGAGGTTTCATTATTTATATCGTTTTCATGTTCCTTAAAAATAAAAGCAACGCCAGCCGAATCTATCCCAAAACAGATGATGGATGGACCTGCTCTACACACTGAAAACACTGATGAAGAACTTTGTAAAACAATATTTATCATGATTCTAATGGATTTTGGTTAAATTAGTTTAGAGATCCACAATCCTATTTGTTTATTCATATATATTGGATACGTTCAAATGCTCACTCCTGTACCAATCAAACATGCATCGCAGTTATAAATTTGAAATCACATATAAAGAGGTCGTCCCTGGATTATTGAACCAGATCCTCATAAAGCAGTGCAGCAATAACAAGTGATGTCAGAACTCAGCAGGATTAACTAGGGCAACAATTAAAATACCTATTTTCTTCCAACTTTTTCCCTTAAAAACTGCCACAGCATTCCTTAATGTTTCATCCTGCATTATGTTAAATAAAACATTTAAGAAAAATATTATTATTAACTTCTACATGAGCAGCAATAATTGAAAGAACAAACACAACAATTTTGAACTACACTTGCACAGAAATAAATCAACTGAGCTGAATTCTCTATTTAATCAGCTTGATAACAACCAATAACATATCTAACCAAAAAATCGATAATGAAAAAAAAAAATCAGCTCTCCAATGAGTAAAGACTAACCTCCTGTGCTGTCCAACCACCCTTAGCGCGCCTGATAGGACCAGTGGTCCTCCTGTGCCAAAAATATTCATGTAGCAAAAATCAATGCATATAGATCACAGCAAGGATTCAAAATGGAGAAAACTTTGCACAGTATGAAGGGAATCAGTCATTCCACATAGGTATAAAACATGCAGCCATCGAGGTAGAGCATGATGATCACAATTCATGACTGATACTGCAATGAAAAAGTAGAGAACTTAACGGATGTTACCGATGGGAAGGTGATGTGGATGCCGGGCTACATATCCCTGGAGACTTGTGAATTGCACTGCCACTGCCTTCAGATACAGAGGAGCAAGAAGCAGCTGTAGATTGCTTATTTTCCTGACAACACTCCTCCGATTTCACCAACTCAGCCATATCCTTCAAGTGCCCAAAATCCTAATAAACAAACCATAGCATATATCTTCAGAAGAGAATTCTTCAAAAGAAAAAACAAAGCACAAATTCTCAAAACAACCCCACCATACACCAACCATATAAAAATCCTAAAAACCCAGCTCAAATTGAAAATTTTCCAAACTTTACAGTGGAACACAAATTTAAACAGAACCCAGATCTTAAAATATATTATCAGATCAAAAACCTTCAATCCCCCCCTCCCCCGAAAATTATCTCACATGAAACATGGTAACGCTCCACCAAAACAAAACCTATTCGGAGTCCTTTGTTGCAAAAAGAAACGGAAAGACTCGATCAAATCAATAAAAGGAAATTAACACCTGAATTTTGCAGAGTAAATAAACAAAACAGAAACAGATAAGAAATAAAATAATAAATCGAGAAAAAAAAATCATGAATTTCTCCTAAGAGTGAAGTACCTATGCTTGCAGAGAAGTGGCGGGAATCGAAGTGAAGCTCATAGAAGAGAGACCAAGGCTTCTCTCTCTTTCTCTCTCTTCTCTGAGCTAAGGTTTCGAAAAATCCTCGAACGTTGAAACAATGGAAAATTGAAATTTAGTTTTAAAAAATAAAAATGGAATTTTATTATTTATTATTTACTATATGTGTGTATGTGTAACGAATATACACATAATAATATGGTCATAATAATGATATATATAATAATAAATGTTTGAGCACCGACGTGACGTCGCCGTCAATTACCGTTAGGGGTGCGTAGCGTTGTTTTCAGAGCCCGTCAGTTAACGGCTGGTTGCAAACGTTACTTAGGGGAACAAAAGTTTGAAACTCAAACGGCACTGAAGGCGTGACGGCGATAAAGGTCGAACAAGTTTAAGGACTAGGTTTGGGTCATAGTGATTATGGACCGTTGGATGGGACGGAGTGGTGGCGATTTCAGGTGTAAGAAGGAAACGTTCTAACTAATTGGAGGGTTACGGATACAGTGTCACGTTGATTTATATGTCTTTTGATTCTAATGTTATTCTACATAAATAAAAAAATTGTACGTTTTTTTTATTTTATTCATCTGATATGCATATATTTGAAAAAATATAATGATGTAATTAATAAAAAATAATTAATATAAAATTTTAAATTTGATGGATAATAAATAAATAAAACTTATCCTAAATTTAACACTTAAAAAAATATTAAATATTAAATAAATTCATTAACCTATTTTTATTTTGGTTTAATATGCATTGTGAAATACAAGTAATAAATCTCATCTTTTTAATTTTTTTTAACCAACTTATAATCACTAAATAATAATACTAATAATAATAATAATAATTTTATTATTATTATTATTATTATTATTATTATTATTTTACCTATCAATAAATTTTTGAATATTATAGATCAAGAAAATAAATTAACAAAATGTATTCTATTGTACAACAAAGATAAAATATTATTTACTTCACAAAACTTACTAATTATCTTTTTATAAAAGTTATTATTTTTAAACATTGATATATATGATATTAGTTTAGACATTAGAAAACTTTACCATTTATTCATTCATATTAGAATAATTTCATATGAGAAAGAAAAGTTATGTTAGTCTCGTCGATTTAATAAAATCATCTTATATTTATCATTAGATGAGGTAAATTATTTTTTTATCACATGATTCAATTAATTAAGTTCTTCATTCTTGACATGAATACAATGACTAAAAGTACATTTTAAAAAATGTAACAATAAATCAATGTTCAATTATAGGACAATTTAACTATACTATGCAACAACAATCAACTTTATACCACTTTCATGAAAAAAAAAATTAAAATAGACAATAATATCAAAATGATATAAAAATCTTATGTGAATGGTTGTAAACGATTATTCAAAGATTTGTCGACCAAACAAAGCAAATAAGGATAAACAAATATCTCAAATTACAATGATAAAAACTCACTTGGTACAATCAAAACATCAAGAGACACAAAACCAAAGAAAACGTCTAGAGTCTTAGGTCCCATTAAAAAAAAAAAAGATGAGTCAAGAACATCCACCAAAGTGGACTTGTTGTGTACTAACAAAGAAGAACACATAGGTGGAGACGTTGGGAATGAAGCTATATAGATTGTGAAGAAGTTTATATTGTTTTTTAGAAGACATATAGTGAGATGGAGGACACCAAGAATGATCTTTGTTGACAAGTGCATCATTATCGTCAATAATTTTAAAATAAATAAAAATATCGAATCCACAAATATTTAAGTAATATTAAGAACACTAATGATATGTTATTAGGCTTAAATTGAAAGAAATACGATCTCATAATTGAAATTTTGAAAATAATATTAAAATTTTGACAAGCACAATATTTTTAGTATTTTTATATTAAAGAAAACTAAATTAAATAAAAATAAATATATGAATATTTTTTAGATTAGAATTCACCACCTCACTCTCTTTTGATATATTAAGCTCATTAAATAAAATTTTCCCCTTCTCCTTTTTTCGCAAAACATGTATCTAGAGATTTTGTAACATCACCTAATGTTTTGTAATAATTCCCAAAAGAATGTTGCACGTTACGACCCATCTCTTCATAGAAGAAGGAAGCATGAACGATAAAAAGGCACAAGCAGATAATGGGAGCAACAATAAACAAAAAAATATATAAGCAAATGAAGACAAAATAACGAGAATGAAAAACACATTAAAAGTTATTCCAGAAACAAATAGTGAAAGTAGAAATCTACATATAAGCAAAGGAGAGCAGTGTGAGGTGTTGGAGCCACGTGAGGGGTGATGGTGAGTGAGGAACACTTGTGTCACTACTGCAAAGCAGTGAGGGAAATTGTGTTAGGGGAAACGAAATAAGAAGTGGCCATGAGGTGCCATCTTAGTAAGAGAACCACCCAACTTCAAATTTTTATTTTTTTTAGTGTTTTCTTCTCTCAAAATTCTCTCTCAACGCTTTCAACCTTTGGATTTATAAGATGAAATTTGACAATGTAGCTTCCTTTTATTCATTGATTAGCCCAATTTCATGTAACATGTTGGTGGCTCAATGTATCATGGTGGTTATAGCAAAAGATGGTTGAAGGGTGGTCTGGAGTTTTTGGGACGAGGAAAGCAGGAAACGTTTTTTTTTTTTTCTCTTTTTATTTTATTTTATATTTTTTATTGAATTTTGAAATATTTATAAGAATTAAAGTGTTTATAGTTATCCATTTTTAATTAAATTTTATTAGATAATTTAAATAATTTTTTTATATTATCATAATAAAATATAATTAAAGATGTAAACACTAAAATTTTGTTTAAAAGTAAAGATAAGAAGATTTTAAAGTAATGGAGGAATTCCACAATTAAAAGAAATGGTAAGTTAAGAAACTTGAAAACTCACAGTGGGCTCGGAAATTCATTATAGAACTTATGATATTAAATATTGAAAACTTAGAAATAGAGTTGGGATCTAATATGAAATGGATTCGGGATTAGTATAAAACTTGTGATTTGAAATATAATGAATACGAAGTCCAAAATTTGTTATGAATACAACTTAAATATTAAAAACAAGGGGTACATGGACCTAAAATACAAAAAAACTTGGATATTTGTATGAATTGATAAATGTGGGCTTCAAGAATCAATATAAAGCTTGTTGATATTGAAAACTTAGTAATAAGTTCGAAAACTCTATAAAATTTATGAAGAACTTTGAAGTGCATATAAATGTGTTGGACTATTAAATAAAATAATTCAATTATGATAGAATTTAATGATAATATAATCAGTTTTATTTCGTTATTTATGCATAATTATGTATAATATTTATAGGGAGAATATTTTCTTGATTTTCAGAGATAAATTTTTAGGGATAAGAAATATACAACTTATTTTCCGCATGGTGTCAGAGTTCGATTTGGACTATCCCTAACTTAGGGTAGTCAACCATGGAAGAGAACAAGATAGGAGGTTGGACCATTAGTTTGGTCAAAGGACCTGCTCTTCCTATCACTGGTCACAAATTGAATGGTCAAAATTACCCTCAATGGGTGCGTTCATTTAAAATATTCCTTCAAGGAAAAGGGAAGGAAGGTTACATCACCGGAGACTCCAAGTCTTCAGTATAGGGTGACTTCAGTATAGGGTGACCTTAACCTCAACAAATGACAACTAGAAAACAGTTTAGTCATGTCATGGTTACTCAACACCATGACCAATGAAATTGGGGAGAATTTCATATACTATGACACTACCAAGGAGATGTGAAATGTAGTGAAGGAACCTACTCAAATATGGACAATATGTCTGCGGTATTTAAGATTAATAGCATACTCCATGAATTGCGATAAGTTATTTCTCAGTCACTGAGTATTTTAATACACTCAACTGACATTGACAACAACTAGACATATATGAAGACATTCAATGGAGTTGTGTCGAGGATAAGAAGAAGTATAAAGAATTGGTGGAGAAAGATAGGATCTACAAGTTTCTATTGGGGCTGAACACAAAACTTGATGAAGTTCGAGAGAGAATCCTCGGAACCAAACATCTTAAAACAACCTGGGAAGTATTTTCGGAAGTGAGAAGGGAGGAGAGCAGAAGGAAAGTAATGCTTGGAAAGTCAAGTGCAGCCCCACCCATTGAAGACACAACAATGGCAACAAGGGAGAACTAATCTCGTCCATCTAAAAAGAAAAATTGACCTTCAGAGGAAAAATAGACAAAAAACCTGGACAGTAGAGGCAACACAACAGAGATAAATTCTAATTCATCTCCATTCAGCAAGAAGCAAATGAAAACACTAAAGAAAATTCTCCATCAAACAATGGGTACAACTGTATTAGCACAAAAAGGTAATTTCTTGCTTGCTCAAAATACTAGTATAAGAAAATCAAAGTCATGAATCATTGATTCAGGAGCCTCAGATCATATGCCTGGAGACTTAACTGTGTTTAAAAGCTATAAGTTATACTCCTTACCAC